ACCCAGCAATTGTGCTCTTGGTATTTAGCCAATGGATCACAACCTTGTATCTACACAAAAACCTAACAGAGATGTTTACAGCAGCTTTATTCATGATTGTCAAAATTTGGAGACAACCAAGATGTCTTTCAGTAGGTGACTGGATAAACTGGGATACATTCAAAAACTGGAATATTATTCAGCACTAAAAGGAAATGAGCTATCAGGCCATGAAAAGGCAAGAAGAAATTTTAAATGCATATTCCTAGGTGAAACAAGTCAATCTGAAAAGACTACGTACTGTATGAGCCCAAATATATGACATTCTGGAAAAGCAAAACTATGGAGACAGTAAAAATATCAGTGGGTGTCAAGGGTTAAGGGGAAAGAAGGGACGAGCACAGAGGATTTTTAGGGCAGTGAAACTATTCCGTATGATATTACAATTGTGGACACATGTCATTACACACTTAACAAAATCCGTAGAATGTACAACACCAAGAGTGAACCCTTATGTAAACTATGGGCTTTGGGTGATAATTATATGTCTTCGTAGGTCCATAGAGTGTGACAAATACATGACCATGGTGTGGGACGCAGACAGTAGGAAGATTGTGCATGTGTCGGGTGGGGGTAAATGGGAACTCTCTCTACTTTCTGTTCAATTTTGTATAGACCTAAAACTGCTCTAAAAAATAGTCTATTTAAAAAAAATAGCATTAGGTTATGTGGGATTCTAACTGGAAATCACCAAAGTCTTTGAAGATCTTGCTGTTCAAAATGCATATTCAGCGATCCTTCACTTTGCCATGACAATATGATAAAGAAAAATATCAAGATGCATAGGGGCACTTGTACCCCAAAGTTTATAGCAGCACTCTCAACAATAGCCAAATTGTGGAAAAAGCCTAAATGCCCATCAGCTGATAAATGGATAAAGAAATTGTGGTTTCTATATACAATGGAGTACTACGTAGCAATGAGAAAGAATGAAATATGGCCCTTTGTAGCAACATGGATGGAACTGGAGAGTGTGATGCTAAGTGAAATAAGCCATACAGAGAAAGACAGATACCATATGTTTTCACTCTTATGTGGATCCTGAGAAACTTAACAGAAACCCATGGGGGAGGGGAAGGAAAAAAAAAAAGAAAAAAGAGAGGTTAGAGTGGGAGAGAGAGCCAAAGCATAAGAGACTCTTAAAAACAGAACAAACTGAGGATTGATGGGGAGTGGGAGGGAGCGGAGGGTAGGTGATCGGTATTGAAGAGGGTATCTTTTGGGATGAGCACTGGGTGTTGTATGGAAACTAATTTGACAATAAATTTCATATAATAAAACATAAAAAATTTAAAGAAAAACATCAAGAAATACTAATTCAATACAATTATTTAATTTTTAGACAATGATGAAAAATATCATATCTTTGAAATAGAGTTAGTTTAGGGGAGAATAGGAAATTATTAAATTTAGTGTCAATATGAATGATACTGAATCCATGTTAGAGAAAATTAATATATATCTATAATTTAATAATATTCAAGAATTTAAACAATTAACTGAATTTTGGCAGGGGAAATTGGAAGAGAGACAATTTTTGTCAGTAAGAAAAAATTTTAAGCTGCATATTTTAATCATCATAAACTGTTCGGGATTTCAATATTTTAATAGATTCATTTAGCTCTAAATGTCTTCAAGCATGGTATAAATCCTCCAGAGTCCCTGCTTTGTAATATAGCCTTTTAACATATTCATTGTCTCTTTCCAAGAAAGTTCACTATTGCTATTCCATTAGTCTGTTTTGTGATTTATTTCAAAGATAAAATGAATATCTTCACTTTTCATTCATGACTATTTAATCTTGATTTTTTAATAAAAATTTGATGGTAATTATCATCTATTAAAACACATTCTTTCCCTCTTCTTGTGCATTTTTCCTCTTTACAGTAAATCCTACATTCTGACACCACAGTTAAAAACATTTTATCAGTAATTACATCTAGACATATTCCTTTTATGAACTCAGTCTTAATAGACTCTTAATCAACTCGGAGCATTTTTAGACATGGCAAAGATTCTATTGATGCATAATAGGAGAGTGTTGGATTTGCCAACCTCGTTTCTCTTTTTCACTTTACCCTTCCCTTAATCCCGATAGCTTCATAGCTTTTATAGGGTAAACTTACACAAAACCTCACCATATACTGGAATGTTAGCTATGTGTGGTGTGCTGTCAAAACAGAAGTCCATTACCCATAAGTGAGACAGAAGCCATCTTTAGATGGAGGAGGCATTCACAAGAGGTTCAGTAAATATTAGAAGATAAGGCATTTACAAGAGGCTCAGTAAATATTAAAACCATGAGAAACTATGGCAGAGAAGATCATCTGCAGCAAAAATAAAAGTAAACTGTTCTGCCTCTCTGATCCTTAACTTTACCATCATCAAAATGAAAACAAAATATATTTACCTCCAGAATCACTGTGATGATTAAGTCAGAACATATAAATGAAAATTCAGTACTAGTCATAAAATGCCATATAAATATCGGGTAGTATCACAATTAATAATAATTCCATCTCAGAATTATAAGAAACTTAGGCAGGCAAAGCATTTAGAAGAGGAAAACACAGGCTACATGCCCAAGACTTGAATGAAAGTGAGAGCTCTGTATGTTCATAAATCCCTGCATCCCAAATTCCTTGTATTATGTGTGAGCGTCTGCTGTGGTACCATGAAGCATAAAAATAGTAAAGCCTGTTGAAAATTCCAAAACAAAGAGAGGAGCCAAGAAAAGAATATGAATAATTTAATCAGATAGGATTCAAGTTTATCCCCAGCTTATTTGCCTTTTATTCTTCATTTCAGTTAGTTACATATCCATCAGTTATCACCAAGGTTGTGCATGCACCTTGAAATGTTCACAAAAGGTCCACAATACAGGGGTTCATAATTAGGTTATATGTTATATTCAGAATCCCAGGGGAACTAATCGATTCTGGAAATATTGATTAAGCAAGATGAAGAATTCTTACACAGTTTCAACTACAACAATTTTAAACAAGTACAAGCTTCGGTTGCCACAAAACTCACAAAAAGTAATTGATTGAAGAATATCTCTTTTATGCAAAATATACATTTTAGGATATAATTTGATTAATACTCTACTATATACTGACATTACTCCTTGATCATTTAATAAAAAAATACTCTCGTTGCCAGAATTTTATTTTCTGTAATATTTATAATTGAGGTAACAATGACAAAACACTTAAACCATGAATAACATTGGTGAGTTTTTTTTAAAAGTCATAATGATTCCCCAGAACTAAACAAATATGTGACTAAACACAGGTTAGTTTTGATAAATAGGCACTGAAAATTTCACAAAAAGACAAGCAGATAACATAAATGGTTTATAAAAAAATGATACCATCGATGTTCATGGATTCAAACAACAAAGAAGAAATAAGGAAAATTAAGACACGTCTATACTACGCCATTATCACTGCCTTGTATGATTCACAGCACAATCTACTGCAGGCCCAAGAGGGGCAATTCACAGAGGTATGGGCCTTACTTGAAGCTTCAGAGATATTGATCATGAATTTGGCTTCCTTGGGTGTGAGATGGCTGAAGCTGTTGACCCATGCACACGTGTTGGTATTTACAATTGTCTCATGGATCCCGGCAGGTCCACAAGCAGACCACTCATATGGGGAGCACCAAATGAGTTCCAGCCACAGTTCTTTTCTAAGCTTTAGATGCCTCATGAAGACGCAGGGACTTCTTCCGAGTGCGACCTGGTCACATCAGGGCACATTCAGCAGCAGAAGTCTGTTTCCAGTACAGTCCTTGGCATGGCTAAATTCCATTGTCCCTTTTTCAGCAGTCAAAAATCCATGATAAATTCTGTACAACACTGCAGTCAATAACAGCAGCACCAGACAGTATATTAATTCCTTTACCATAAAGCTATATGGAATTATAACTTTCTAAGGGTGGTGTCATTAAAAGGATCACAGAATCTCTAAATATCAGATGTGTACGTCTGGGTAAATACATTGCCGTACAAAATCTCAGACATGCAGTTCATGCTTTAGGACTTAGAGAATAATAGACGTTATGTGATCAATAATAAAAATGACATTTGTCTTCCTCACAAAAAATAAACATGAGAATTAAGGATTAATCAACAGTCTCAAGGATCCTGAATGCCTTAGAAATAATAATGCTTATCCCTCAATTTATAGTATGGCATTTTTCCTCCCTCACATGCCCAATACACCGGACACACTATTGCTATTGCATTCATCGGGACGCTGTAAACAGAATTTCTTCCACTTGGGCTGAATAAAACTCCCTAGGGGTTTTGCTGGAGTGTAGTGATGAATGCTGGTTGCTAGGTAGTAGACACTGACACTGCAGCCAGCAACCAAATGTAATGGTGATACTGCTGCTTAAATCCTGCTTATCAAAAAGGTTCACAGTACTGATTAACGTAGGTAGTCTACAGGGCATCATCCATTTACACACAAAGCAGAGAGGCTGTTCCAAATAGCAGAGAAGGCGGGGCGCAGGGGAGAGGACCCGGTACTAAAATCATGAACATCTTATCAAGGCATTTCTGTGCTTCATGAAGACAGATGGCATATACATTGAAGACAGGGAGCTAAGACAGACGGACAAAACGCCATACAGGACAAAGCACCTGATTCAACACTGCCTGAAAATCTGATTAATCCCGTGAGTCAGAAATTTAAGGCTGGTCAAGAAAGCCTCCAGTGAAAACAATCTTTGATGTTTGCACAAAAATCAATAAATAAAAATAAAGGAAGGGGATAAAAAAAGACACGAGAGCTTTGGGTGATATTTGGCACTTTGCCTCTGAAAATGATGACAAATCCTGGGATTGGAAAAATATATATATGACTCTAATACCAAGCAGCAATTCCTGGCTAAACAATGCAAGCCTGGCTGGCAGTTACCTTTCTCTCATGTTTTGTGCCTTCCCCAAGTCATTAAGTAAGAGCTCTGGCCTCAGCTCGCGTGTAACCAGTAATGACAACCTCTTTGCAGTTATCTGTGTGCAAACAACCAGAGACATTCAGAACTCCAATACAGCATTTTTGAAGAAAAGTAAATCAACCAAGAAATTAAACTGTTTAAAACAAATATTTCTTTCAAAGAATAAGGAAAAAAAATGTCAAGGAGAAACTCGCCCTCCCTGCCCCACAATTCAACATGCAGAACAGTCAACCAGTGCTTTCATATCAGCAGGTACACATATCCTGAGCCATCCATGGTCCCCGAACTCTGCGACATTGCTTTCAGGTGATAGAGACAAGATGGTCCATGCAAATGAGCTGACCAAAGTCATGTTGTGTGCAATCAAGATAGGATCCCAAACATCTTCAAAATGGTTTAGAGTCACGAGAAATGAAGGTCCAATGAAGTGACCGGTGTTTGGAAGCACACTGTTTTAATTATATCTCCCTGAAGATATGTTTACGTATTAGCATACTGGCCAATATCTGACACTACCTGTCATTTTATTGCGAAAGGAGAGCAGGGTAATTAATATGGAGAAGTATCACTACTTTAGATAATCTTTAAAGCCAGGAGAAGATTTGTGAGCTACCCAAGTGGCATTTCTGACTTCAAAAAGTAGTATCATGCAGGATTGAAACTGTATTTAATGGAGCCTGGAGTAACTCTACATTTACTTATTTCCATTTTGGGGTAAACAGTACTCGAATTCATACAATTTAGCCGACTGATGCAGTTTGGTTTACAAAATAGATGGGATGGGAGATCGAGGGCGCCTCAGAGGACAAGGAGAGTTGTAGGGTGATGTTACTGGAGACAGCCTCAGAGCATTGCCTGCCAAGCCCGCTATGTTGTTTAAGCTTCGGGATTTTTCATATCCTTTTATGAAAAAATGCACAGACATCAGTTGAATTCAACCAGAAAATAGACACAGACAAATAATACCATGCAGGATAATCAAAAGTGCTATTTTGAGTTCAAGGGAAAAAAAATTTTTTTACAAAGAATTCAATATTGAGACCATTTATAACTTAAAAAAAAAATAAAGCTCACTATAGCTGTCATTTCCAAGAAATTAAATCAATCAAAACTTATAGTTGTAATACTTCAAAATTCATTCTTTCCCACTGTAATTTGTATTGATGTAATTTTGGTATATAAAATACTACAGATCTTTTAAGAGTTAGGCAAAGCAACTTAAGTAAGATATAAACTTGGCTAATATTTTTAAATTTCAGAATCTATTTCTAAAAAAAAAAAACCAAATGGGCTATTTTTTCTTTTCATTTTGTATTGTTTACTAAGCTAATAAGCATGATCAACTTTAAGTGGACCACTCTTTTTCCAGCATATTCAATTTTTCAGCTTTATAGTGTTAAAAGGATGATTCTTAAATAATGGCGTTTGATGCCATTATCTAGGTGATGTAGAATGCCCATTTCTATATCTTTGGATAAAAAAATGTAAAGAAAAAAGGAAGGAAATGAAATATAAATTGAGTCATAATTTCAGTGAATTACAGTCTGAACTTTATGATGTGATGTTTTCAGTTAGCTCTCCACTGCCGAGAACTGAGAACCATTTGATCATAATTCACTTTTTCTATTATCTTGCGTTCTAATCAACTGTACGTGATTATCATGGACTTACGGAATAAAAGATCCTCCTCACAAGCTTTAACCCAGTGGTTTTCCTTAGTCACTCAAGCAACATTCCCATCAAAGTCACCTTTGGGAAGATTCATATATTGTAGCATTATTTATTAGAAAAAGAGTAGAGGCAGTTCAATGGGGTGGTTAGCACCACGTAAAGTTAGAAGTGAACTGTCTTAAAAGCAGGACAACTATTGATTGAAACAGTAGTCAAGAACCAAATGTAGGATTCAGTCATAAGAAAAACTAGTCAGGAAATAAATGTTCTGACAAGTCCACTGAAAAAAAGTGTTGTCGAACAGGAAAATGAAATTCCCTCAGCCAAAGCTGAGCAAGTGGATACAACTTCACTAAACTTCATGGATTCCTTAGCCTCAGGACATATTCCTTGGGCTCTGATTAGCCCTCGGTGTGCATGTTAGTATATGAGAAAGAAAATGGGCCTATTGTGCTTCCCTGTGTTCCTCTCAGGTACTTTTTTTAATTTTCATGGAACTTCTGGGGAAGAAGCTAATACTATCTCTCCTCCTTTCACTAGAAAAGAAGAAACATTTTCAGTGAGTTAGTGATTATTTGATTTTCAAGCAGCCAGTACAAGAATGGACACAGACTGTAATAACTGCTCTACTGTGGGAGAAGCTGGACTGGACAGAAACGTCCTTCCCCATACACACACACAGAAACTTTCAGCGGTCTTCCTTGAGATTTTGTAGATGGAAATTTATGCCATCCATAACCTATTGTAAAATTCTCTAGGACACCCTTTCTGCTAATGAGAGGATTATATGCCAATAAGCTTTGTTAGCATTTAGAGATATAAAACATGGGAGGCAACACGTATTTCATTCTATTCCAGAGGATGATGGAATACTTAATAAGAGGATGTCTTAAATAATTAAAAAAGAATTGCAGATAATTTATCCTTACACAGGGACCTCCATGCTCCTGAAGAGCTAGTCATTACTGCTCTTCTGTAAAGACATTGGAAGTATAACTTTGGGAATTATATGAAGAATAATTTATCCTAGTTGACCATGTAATCTCCCTACAGGACCTCCAAAAAGGTAAAAATTTACTTGATCGTTTTATGTTAATCACCCTAGTCATATGTAAATCTTGGTTCCCATTCTTAATGTTCAATTATTATTCTGAATTACAGTTTTTAACATAAATATTATCTATTCTGTTTATAAGTCCTTTTACTTTAATAACTATAATTTCGGTGTTAATTTGAAAAGACTTCCCTTCTAATTTAATAACAAGTATTTAGTAAAATTATACGTTATTCATTGAATATATATATTTTTTATTCTGCAGGTTCATTTCTGATACAAAATTTGATAAGGTTTTGCTTAAGCAAACTTTTTATTGAGTGGAATGGTTAAAAATATAATTCATGAGAATAAACAATATTGAACCTACTTGGAATTGGCATCTAAATACAAGGTGTGCCTATTATATGGTCCTTTTTTTTTTAGTTTTTTTTATTTTTTTAACATTTATTTACTTTTGAGACAGAGAGAGACAGAGCATGAACAGAGGAGGGTCAGAGAGAGAGGGAGACACAGAATCTGAAACAGGCTCCAGGCTCTGAGCTGTCAGCACAGAGCCTGACGCGGGGCTCGAACTCAGGGACTGCAAGATCATGACCTGAGCCGAAGTCGGACGCTTAACCGACTGAACCACCCAGGCGCCCCAATTATATGGTTGTCAAAAGCATGTGCTTATATGGGGAAATATTGAAACTGCCTAGCAATGTACTATCAATGGGTATGTTTTTGTGTATGTAATATGATTTCCTAAAAACTACTGAATAAATAAAAACACAGGTTCTAAGTATTGGGAGTTCATTCTTACAGGGAATCCATAAATTTTCTTAATGTATGTCCAACTATATTCATACTTGTTGGTAGAAAAAGAATTCAGTGGGAATCTGGTAATTTCTTTTCATCTGTACAGGGGGAGAATTTTCAGCACACTAAAATCAAATCAGTTGAAAGACCAACTTGAAAGATAAAAAAGGGATCATTTAGGGAATAAATGCCTGAATAAGAGTAATAGCAGAAATCTATAATCTACATAAAAGGAAACAAGAGAAGAATAGATTCCTGATAAACATGACAAGACAACACACTAAAAAAAATAAGTGAAGTTAGCCAAAATGTTACAAGGACTGGGAGGAAAAACACAGTAGTGTAAAAAAAACCAAGCAAGAATGAAAAAAGAAGTTGACTATGATGAGAAATGACAAAGAATAAAAGCCCATAGATGAATTTTCAAAGATGTGCTCATTGATAAAGAGAATTTTGTCTTTGTGAAATAGAGTTTTATATATAATTTTTCCATACAAACTAAATATCTTATTAATTGCTTTGCTCATGAAACTTTGCCATTTTACAGAAAAATTCTATATTTGCATAATGTTTTATAATTTGCAAAGTATTTTTTCATATGTGATCTCCTTTGATAGTTTAAAATTCAAATATTGTCTGACAGTGGAAGGAAAAAAATTTAGCTAAGTTCTTAACCATGTAACCTTAGTATAAGCATTGGATGTGATACTTTATTATGTGATGTTCAAAAATGTATAAAAATATAGCCACACATTACATATAAATACATATATACATATATATACATATATACATATATATATATACACATATATAGTGGGTTAAGATATGTAATGTACTTAAAATATAATGTTCTATACAATAAATTATTAGTTATACGTTATTATCATCAGTTAATGTATGTATACATATTTTGCTTAAGTACAATGATAGGATATTAACTATCATAAAATATTTAAAAAATTGTTCTAGCACTTAATATTTAAATGTAAATTAGCAAACAATCAAATAAACATATTCAAATAATTGAAATATATTTTGGTATAAAGAATAGATGCAGAGGAATGGAAGTAGCTGAAATGAAGAAGTATTTGAAATATTACATACTAAAGCAATAAAAGAAGAGTCTGACTTCTCTTTTGAGATCAAAGGCATGGAGACAGGACAATAAAAAGTGTTCAGAAGCAATGAAAGAGAAGTACAATATGGGTAATGAGACATTTCAAAGAAGACATCACAAAATAAATATTGAAGGCTTAAAATGTTAAAGTATTCGATTGGGAGAAACTGCAATGAATAGCAAAAAGTGAAGTATTTTTAAAACACAGTTGCACTAATATGAAAGTTTTGGATTGGTTTTCATTCAAATTCAGTACATTGCATAAGAAATAATTACAGTTCTTTCTCTATTCTGTCAATAAACAGAGAAAGAGAACCATGGCAATAAAGCAAACAGAATTATCAAAGTAGGAGTAATCAAAGAGCATATCAGCCCTTGGACCAGGGTAGGTAATGTCACAAAATTATTTCTTAAGGAGCAGGTAAAAGGGCCCAATTGTCCTGAGATCCATAAAGTTTACTCAAAACAAAAACAAAAAACAGCACCTAGGGAATGGTCAGAGACAGTGGCATAATCTAGAAAATTGGAAGCACATGGTGGAGTGGTGCTTCAATACTGTTATATTCCTTGACCAAGATGCCTAACCAACAAAATATACTCATTCAACAAGTGTTATTGAGTATCTTCTGTGTGCAAGTCACAGTTCAATGTGGGTTGAAAATAGTAATAAACTTAAAATTATTAGTATTGCCTTGAAGAGAAATTCTGTATCACATTATATAAGTACACAAGTAGCCTTTTAAGTGATTGGATATACTGTTTTATATGGCCAGGGATGTTATATCTTTTTAACCTTGTGACATTCAGATAAATCATGGCAAAGACTGCCCAAATACTGGATAAGAGATTTAATTAGAGAATGTTTAAAGCTTTTCTTTGAAAAAAGCCTTATTGTTCTATCAATTACTTATCAAATATATGCATAGAGCCAATTACCGAGTTTTATTACTTGTAGTTTAAAAGATAACTTTTAAAGACTGCTGAGTATATTATATTAAGATAATTAGATGAGCAACTTAATTTTTAAATACCCCATTACAATTCTTCCCATAGACAAATGGAAAACCAAAAACAAGAATGAATGAATGAATGAATGAATGAATGAATGAATGAATGAAGACTGAAATGAATGAAGACAGAAATGAATGAAGAAAGAAAGAAAGAAAGAAAGAAAGAAAGAAAGAAAGAAAGAAAAGAAAGAAAAGAAAGAAAGAAAAAGAAAGAAAGATGAAATACCTTTCAGATATGACAGTCAAGTGTACTGTTATGATATGTACTTTAAATGTTTATAATGAGAAAAGAGATGATGAGAAATGTGAAACAACACTGTGTGCAGTTTTTCCTAGAAAATGACGAAAGAGCATTTATATCACTCCATATATTAGTAGCACTTAATTTCTAAGTCACCTGTTAGGATCTGATTAAATGCATGCCTACCTTTCCTGATCCCTCCATCAGAAGCACACGTGTAATCACCTGTTGTCAGTAGGAAACATGTTTCCCCTCTTCTGTTTTTGTCTCTGGTACTAGAGCGTCTGATGGGGAGCCTTTCTGGGGGTGATAATGGCGGCTCACTTCCTGTACTGTCGTCACCTGATAACACTGGTCACAGCACCATGCCCATTGACAGACAGTGATGGATGAGGAAATGAGACAGTACAAAGAGTTTACACTGAATGTCCATAGTACAGTCACTCCATATACAAAACACAGTAATCACATCATGATAAGAAAAAGGATTTTCATCACTCATTACAAAAATCTACATGGAGCAAAATGGAAATGTATTGAAAAGGAGAGAAATGTTCTTGGGAAATTTCAATTCCATTTTGGATCCCATTTAGTAGGAAACTGACTTTCACAGAACTAATATGAATTCAAAACAAGTGTGATAATGAACTAGCACACACATTAATATCTTAAGATTTTTGACATGCTTTCTAGTTACTGTGAATAGGAATCTTTAAAAGTGGAGCCTACTTAAGGAAAAACTCCAAGGTACATATTTGTCTTTGGAGTTAAGACACAGGCTTTTAATATTTGCTGAAAGTAATTTCCCCCAAAATATTAATAAAATAAATCCAAAATCTCACTTTATGTCCAGGTTCTCCTTTTTGAAATGAAAAATATTTTTTGAGCATAATGAAGGAATAAGATTAACTTCTCCAAATGCCCTTGAAACAACTGTTTACTTCTATATGCTTGCCAAAGACATTTACATCCTATTGGCCTAGATGCTAGCTTGTTATAACAATATTTACCCAGGTTGAGAGTTTGTCCTCTTTTTCCATGCCCTTCATAAGGAATCTGCACAGGTATACTGAGAACAGTCTGATGAGACCAACATCAACTAAACTCCACTATTCATAAAGACATTCTTGGCCTAATAGTTTTTAGATATATTGACAGAATCTGCAGAACAATGTACTAAATGAACAAAAAGATCTTTATGAATAATATATTTAAGAAAGCATTTTAGTTCCAGCCACATTTTTTTCCCCACTTACTTCACAAAAACTTCTGGAAACTAATGAAGGGACCTATGGAAATGTTACTTGCCTTTTTTGTTTGTTTGCTTGCTTGCTCTGTGTAATTGGTGTCATTTCTGAATTATGCAAAAGTATTCACATAGGATTATCATAAATCTTTTTTTACAAGAAAAATATTAAATATATCTAAGTTACAGGGAATGCACATATCTTAAATTTTCCTAGTGGGCTCAAAGCTAATTAAATTGTTTAATCTACAAAATACTTCATCTGTACCCATACACAATAGAGAGGACACTACTGCCTATAACTTTGGCAAAATGAACATCAATTATCAGTTGATGTTGTCTAGATTATTTATGGCAATGGAGAGGAGAAGGGATTCAGCAATATATCACCCAAAATTCATTTTGGGAGGGAACAGAGCACCCAATGCGTAGTGTAGAAAAAAGGAAATCCACAGGGAAATTCAACTTTGCCATTGATTAGACAAAGCAGATCATCTATCTCCAGAATAATGGTGAGTCTATTATATCACATAGCATTTTACCCAATCTAAAGGGATTATACTGAAGATCCTACCTAAGTTAACAATCATGAAAATTTAATCAACCCTCCAGAATATTACTAGCAACAACTTGTATTATCAAAAGGGCTATCTTCCATATCACCTTTTTGGTGTTCAGGCTTTTCAAATATAAGCATCCATTCTTTTTAAGCAACTGCTTCTTGTGAATTAGGTTGAGATGCATGGCCCCATGTGGCAGAGATAAAACTGAGACAAACACGCCAAGCCAAATGATATGGAAAGCAACATTTTGAGAATGAAAGATGGAAAATGGCCAATATCATACCATCACATCGTGCAGGGGAACAAAGAAACATTGGCACAAGAGCAACAAACAGGCAAAAGAAAATATTGGCACCATCAGCAGAGGGCATTCCCACTAAAGCAGGAAAACTCTATAGACCAGCTACGCAGGCTTCTACTTGGAATCTACTGAGAAAAGCTACAGGCTACAGTCTAGCTATCTACAAGCCTGATACAAACACATGTTTTGCGAAGGGGTAGAACTGAAAACTCATGAAAGTTTACAGAGAATGAAAATGGTTGCCTTCTACCTAAGGGACATACTGGTCTATAAAGTATTTAATGGCATGCATTTGAAATTGTGCCTTACCTGATCTGTTATGTTCCAGAAGCCGATTGTCTTTGCCCAGACACGTGTCACCCTGTGTGCTATTACAGGCCATATTTAATTCTGTCTTGCAAAAAGTAGGTGAGCTTGCCTGAGGGGCAGGAGGGATGTGCTTCTTTCTTTTCCTTGGAAGTTTCTGCTTCGCCATTGCCAAGGAGTAGTACATCCCAAAGTTGTTGACAATGACAGGCACTGGCATGGCTATTGTCAGCACTCCAGCCAGAGCACACAGGGCTCCCACCAGCATCCCTGACCATGTTTGGGGGTACATATCCCCATAGCCCAAGGTAGTCATGGTCACTACAGCCCACCAGAAGCCAATTGGAATGTTTTTAAACTGCGTGTGCTCACTAGCTGAAGGGTCGTTAGGTTGAGCTCCTACTCTCTCGGCATAGTAGATCATAGTAGCAAATATCAAAACTCCTAGAGCCAGGAAGATTATCAGCAGCAAAAATTCATTAGTGCTAGCTCGAAGCGTGTGTCCAAGCACCCTCAGACCTACAAAATGGCGGGTGAGCTTGAAGATTCTCAGGATCCTCACAAATCTTACCACCCTGAGGAAGCCAAGTACATCTTTAGCAGCTTTGGATGACAGCCCACTGAGTCCCACCTCTAAGTAGAAGGGTAGGATGGCCACAAAGTCAATGATATTCAAGAGATTTTTGATGAATTCAAGTTTATTAGGGGAAAAAATGATACGGACTAAAAATTCAAAAGTAAACCACACCACACACACTCCTTCTACATACGTCAAGGCAGGATCCGTTTCGATTTCATATTGCAGAACAACGCTTGTGCCATTGATGACTGGTTCTGTCTTGTTTTTAACAATATTGAAAGCTTCATGTGTCTCCAGGCAAAAGGTTGTGATCGAAACCAGGATGAAGAATAAAGAAGCAAAAGCAATAAACTGTAGGGGGCGGGGGGAGGGAAAGAAATAAAAAAAGAAACAAAGAGTGATCTGAACTATAATATACTTTGATCCAAATCTAAGAGCATTGATCCCCGCAGATGAAAAAGAACAAAAGCATATTTGGAGATTTTGGAGGTTTTGCTTGGGATGTTATTTACGTGAAAGAAGAGATGTGTAGGTATCATTAATTAGAGTTGCACATGTAATTTGTTTCAAGTTCTGTTTTCTGTTATATAGGCAAAAACTTTTGCTTATGTTGGAAAATAATTTCTTGACTCTTTTGTATAAGAAAATATACCTGTTAAGAAAGCATAAAAATCAATCCAAAACAACGTTAAAGGGCAACAGACTAAAGAAAAAAATGTAGACAGTGGCTCCAGATATTGGTTCTGATCCTAGAAACCTTCATGTATTAGATCAAGTTTTACATCTATAAATATAAGGTACAGTTCTTACTGATGGAAATTTGGAAGCTACCCAAATTTAACTGTAGGTTTTTAGCTATAAATAAAATTCTCCAAGTTGTCATAGGTATGGACATGAAAAAAAAAAAACAAAAACAAAAAAAAACAAAAAACTTTTGAGCTATGTTAAAGTTAAATTGTATCAGCTTAAGGTGGAGACTTGTCCAAACGAACAAATCTAGGGAAGAGGAATAGTCAACAAGACTGAAGAGAGAGAAACAGAGTTAAGGAACAAATTAAAAGACAATTTTCTTTCTCACCTGAAAAAGAACTCCAAGTGTTATTAGAGTAGCATGCTATAAAATTGCAGGGTTTTTTTTTTTTGTAATTCAACTTTTTAGTTCATTTCATCAGTCCCCATGTGAATACACACACCCACTAATACAGAATAATAATAATAAAATCTCTCCTTATATAGTTCTTATTACTGCCAGACATTCATAAAAACAAATTATGTAATTAACTCATATCCATACTCATAACACTACTATTACCATATTTTACAGTTCTACAATATTAGCAGAGTTTAAGCTACTTTTGCAAGATGTAAGATAACAAAAGGATAGACGAAACACCCTAACCTGATAAGTTTTGCTCCCAATTGTTCTGTTAACTACCAAACGCTCGCATGTTGAATACAAATATGTTAAACCATTTACTTATCTTGGGATCACATACTTCTTAATATTCAAGCTCTGAAAACTTAACACCCAGTTGTCTGAGTGAATGGTACTGTGACAGTCAGTAGTACTAGAGGCTTTCAAAGAAGCCTGTAGAGTTCTAGTGCTCTCTGATAATGCCCTTAGACTTAGCGTGTGTAATGAGCACCAAGGGATTGCCCCTTGAATATCCAAATTAATTAATTATGTAAGAACAAGAGGTCATCAGTCAAGTGGAGGGTAGCCCTTACTTGGAAATATTAGGGTATATCCAAATCCCAAAACTGTCCCCTAATACCTGTTCTTCACCCATACCATTGAAAAGATCTAAGTCTCAAGAAGAGATTGAAACTACCTCCTTTTTTTCCTGGTTGAGTTTCAGTGTAAGAGAGATACAAAAGGACTAAAAGAAAACATCTTAGGATGGTAACTATCTGCCTTAAAGAACCACCTCAAATTCTGAAATTGTATCTATGCAGGGTAACAGTTGGTACACTGTTCATAAAGAATTACATGGGGCGCCTGGGTGGCGCAGTCGGTTAAGCGTCCGACTTCAGCCAGGTCACGATCTCGCGGTCCGTGAGTTCGAGCCCCGCGTCAGGCTCTGGGCTGATGGCTCAGAGCCTGGAGCCTGTTTCCGATTCTGTGTCTCCCTCTCTCTCTGCCCCTCCCCCGTTCATGCTCTGTCTCTCTCTGTCCCAAAAATAAATAAACGTTGAAAAAAAAAATTTTTTTTAAAAGAATTACAAAGCATGCCATTTTCATGGTTTTGCCTTACTCCCCCATGCATATCTTCCAATCTCCCTTGGTTTTGACATTATGGTTTCACTAATATCTTTTCCCAGACATAATGCAAGACACTAACATGTTTTCACTCAGCTTTCCCTTTGTCCAAATAAATATAGAGTTCATTTTTTAATAATTACTTGTTGTAACAGTATCACTAAGACCCTCTAGATGCTTTAGAAGATAGTATCTTCTAGAGGAAGAACCAATCATCCTTGATGCATGCATTACTTCTTAATGTAATCACAATTTTATCTATAGATTTGTTTCTGATTCCCCCTGAAATTTTTTGTCATCAGAGCCCTGCTGGTGGGTATATGTTGATGCCCC